TCAGTTTTACTAAATCTCTCATTACTTTTGTAATTTTTGTATGCCTAAATGTGGAATCTCAATACTTATTGAAAAATTATCAATTTATGCTAAACTTTACGGAAACTTCACTATAGTTATTAGTGAATTTTATTGCGATTTTTAATGACTCAGAAAGTAGTCTTAATGCTTTGAGTACAATACCTTACAATTTTTGTTGTATTATTTAGAGACTGATTCCAATGATTCAAGCATGCAAGATTTTGATGAAGGAGAAGCGCACTTGAAGAGTAACGATTATACTCAACCACGGTATATAATAAATATGCTTTGCTATTTGACTCAGTTGTACTTATAAGTAATTTTGTTAACTTTTAATGTATCACCTTAATATAAATTTAATTATTTATAGAAAACGAGCATTTCAATTAAATGTTTTAATTGATTGTTTTTGCTTTTTTTTTGATTTTTGTTAAGCACGCAAAAATTAACTAATTATTTTTAATATTTAAGTTATTTTTTTAAAATCTACTTATTATTTTCGATTAAACTATCAAAATTTAAACTCTTTTTTTGTTTTTTAATTATTTATATTTAAGTGCATTTTTAGCTATCTTCCACAAAATATCAATTATTGTATGCTTACGGATGATCAAATGAAAGGAACTATTTTTGAAAATTTTCAATTAAGTGAATTACTTCACGTAAGTGTTACAATTTTGCATACATTTATTGTAACTTGTGATGAGTTTTAAGTACAATAAATTAAGTAAATTATTGATTAGAAGTTTAAAAAATAATAAATAATTTTCAGAGAATTCCACGGGAGACATTAAGATCAAATAATATAACTTTTGTAAGAGAAGATAAGCTGAATCAGATCGAACTTGTTAGACAGCAAATATCTGTGGACATGACAGCAATACGTGATGCATTATGCAAGTTAGATTTGATCTGATAAATTTTTAACAAATATCTAGTAGCTCTTTTTATTACTACCGTATTATTATTATTAAAAATATTGCAATTGAAACTACTTATATGATTGTTACTAATTTCATTATTAATATTTCATTGCTAACATATTTATTAGTGCAGAAAAAACAAATTTCAATTATTGATATTGAAAATGCCTAAAAATATTATTTCAGTTTGAATTTAAGTATTCTACCAGTTGAGCAAGTTGATCAAATAGCAAGTATTGCACCATCTGTAATCGATGTCAGCTATTTGTTAAATTATGAATCTATGGAACCAGCATTGGTTATAGGAGAAAATGAACAATTTTTGCTTAAAGTACGATATTACTCTAATTTGATGAGCACTTTTTTGATCAATTAATTTTTGAGAGGAAATGAATCGGTATAAAATTGTAATAAATTGTCGATTTAAAGTTAGTCTTAATTATTATCATTGCTTAATTAACTTCTGTTTTAAGTTTCAGTTATTTGCGAAAATAATTTTAAGTAAATTTATTTGCAAAAAATTATATGCAAGTATTTTTAGCTTGCGAAAATTGATCGAGTAGCAGAAAAATTGCATGCAATGTCATTCATGGGTCACATAAATAGTAGAACTACTGAAATCTTGAAAGTTGGTGCAAATTTTTACTTTCAGTTTTTAGCGGCAGTTTTAAGCAAGTATAATGGAT